CGTTAAGATTGAGGCTTGACCATTTGAAGACCGATAGGTTAGCTTGTATTCCTAAGACCGCATTCACAACGATTTGAGCCAGGCTTTACAAATCCTGGGACTATGGCGGACGTACATGAAAGGAAAACCGCCTAATCTTTAAGAAGTCTCTCCGCCTCTCACACGCCTCCCCACACGTTGTCCCTGCGGGGTCATCCCCAGAAATGCACTGCATGACGTCACGCCTAGCCCACTGCGCATGCGTGCATTTTTAATGAGTTGCTAGATTGCCACAGGAAAATGAATGGGTTCGCGATTCGTGGGTAATTCGTGAGAATTGACAAACTAACGGCCTGATGCCGATAGACAGCAACGCTGTGCTATGCTTCAAGCAACTCCTGACCAAATATCGCTAGGGTTTTTAAAAAAATTCTGTTGTACACACGTACTAAGAAGTTTGCCGTATATTGCCTAGACTACCCTCAGCAAAGCGCAAATATTTTCAGTAATAGTGATTTTAGACGGTTGATTCACTCAGAAACAAAGGGAAATTAATTCGTTGCCGATAGCACCAGCTGATAGCAGTAACATACAGAGTCTGATTAAAAAATTTCATGGCAATTGAAGATTTTTTACCACTGTACAATGGAGTCCAAAAAGAGCACTTGGCACAAATGTAAAACTGCTCAGTGCAAGGCCAAGAATTCAATCACTATTTTCAATCATATTGTCAGATTCTACATAAATTGACTGACCATATCACTACTCAGTATTTAACTAATCTCTAAATCCAAAATCCCTATCATCATTTAATAATTATGCAAAATTCTTCTTTCAGATTGCTATTTATTTAAATTTTTAATGCTGCAACTGTTCCAAAATAATCTTGTAGTAAAGGAAAAATGCAAATAAGAAGTGGAAGACCAATTTTACCCACAGTTTTCAATTATTTGAATATAAAAAGAATAAGATCACGATTTAACAAATTAAAATAATCTTTCGTGAACTCTTTCATGAATAACATATTAAACAAAAAAGAAAGTTATAAATCAGTGGTAATGGCTTATTTTGGAATATATGACCTCTGTACACCATCAGTACCTGACTTAGTAGGCCTACATTATAGTTACTACTTGGATACAGAGTTAGATTTAATAATGTAACAATAAGAACAATATATATTATAATAATAAACTTCTCTGCACATATCAGACACTTGTTACCATGAACTAACACTACTTGACAATGGGCTGAGCACTTATCACAGAGTCAGTGTGCGATGCCATTCTTGTGCTGTGATTGGTTAGTTGAGTCACGTGAAGCCCTACTGTTGCGCCCTCGCGTATTGCGTCAATGCTGCACATTTCTGGCCATGGTACAGTCATTAAACCCATCATTAAATCATTAAATCTTCTACATGGCGAACGGAGCCGAGATTTAATGACTGTACCCCGCAGGGACGACGTGTGGGGAGGCGTGTGAGAGGCGGAGAGACTATTAAAAGATTAGGCGGTTTTCCTTTCATGTACGTCTACCATATTTAGTCCCAGGATTTGTAAAGCCTGGCTCAAATCGTTGTGAATGCGGTCTACTGACTGTAAGCTGGGTTTTGGTATCCGATTTGATACATTAGACTAACGACTTTCAGCGTTATCGTGATATCACTAAAGTAAATCAGCTGTCAACCAGCGTTTGTCCTTTGTTTATACCCTTAACAACCGGCATTGTGAAATATCTGCACGTTCCGTTCGTGTGAAATTGCTTTTTAAATACGCATTTTACTGTTCAGTGATTCATTTCTAGAATGGCTTTCGGAAAGTCTTTCCGACTCTCTAAAGAATATTTGTGATCAATGTTATAACATAGAACAGCAGACACAGTATACATGTGAAAATTATTAGTTCACTGACCGATAGTTACCCTCATTTGACATAATCTATATCAATAAATCCTGTACTGTCATAGCATTTGTTGTGATATTTAGCAGAAAATACGGAGGCGTGACTGATGCATCCCAGCTCTTCTGGAAGTTGTGCGAGTATTTGGACAAATTAAATTTTCACGATCAAAATCAATGTCGTCTCATTATTGGATTTTGTATGATACAAACATGCAGGAATCATGTCCTAGGCGAGTAAGTGCATGTGTGCGTGTGCATGCGTGCGAGCGCGCGCGCGCGCGCGCGTGTGTGTGTGATTGTTGCAGGGGCGCAATCAGAAACCAAGGTTTTGAGTTTGATATCATAATAACGCTTTGGCACCAACGTGGCCAAATTATTTAGTAGACCTTTAAGGCTTAAGTATCACAAATACATAGTCTGCATCATGTGTGGAAGGTTTCAGAATTAAGATATCATTATGAGCGAGGAATGAACGAGGAATACATTAAAGCACAACTCCGTGCATTATGTTTTTGTGTTCAGTGAGTACGGTAACCAATTAGTTAAAAGCGAATGCATCTTGAAAATTGTATTGTGTACAGTAAGCAATTCCTTCACAATGCAAACCTCAATGCAAACCCCAGGGAATCGATCTAATCTTGCAAAACAAATGATAACGGTATTGCTTGCACCAAGGTGATCGATATTGTTGACAAGCACAGAATTCCAAGCGTTTGTTTAAAGCCAGACAAGTCCAAGAAATGTCGTCTAAGCCAGTTTAATCAAGTAAAAATTGGCGGAAACATCCGTCTGTGATTTTGTTGTCTGCTTTAATTTTATTGTACTTTGGTGTCTGTTTTTAATGCAGCTATTATCAAGCAAAAGATGCATTAGTAATAGCATACATCGTACAAAATGACAATTAGCTGACAAAACTTATGCTTCCTATCCATTTGGATAACTGATTAAAGTGAATTCCACGCAGTTGACAGTCGAACGATCAATTAAAACGACATATAAGCGCTCTGAAATGTGAAATCTCTTATTTCACAAAGACCATTTGTATCTCCCCCTGAGCACTGATGTCCCATTGTGTCCTTTCACTCGGTCTGCATCCCATGAAATATTGAGTAGCTGATGTATGGGTTGTGGCCTCTAAGTGCTATTCCAATTTCACTGTGTATAACTACGTGTAGTGATCTGTTAAGCTGAACCGGTCTTACGTAAGTTCATTTGCTTTAATTGGTTAATGGAAAGCAGAGAGACGACTTAAACATACTAGAGGATAAATTAGACTGTCGACGAAACACTTCAAACATTAAACGCATCAACAGTAAAGCATGGCAGTCCTTTTGAACGCAGTTTTCATATTTTTCTGTTCCCTTATTCCGTTGGCCTTCACAATGTCTGCCAGCAAAGTAGCAACTTTCAAGATGTTCAGAGATTACGAGCTATCGGATGGCGGCTCTTTAACAGCAGTCACACACAGTGGGCGGCACATGACGCTTGTGACCTGTAGTGGGGAATGCCTCGGGTAAGGGAATATACCTATCAAATGGTTTTATTTATTTATTTATTTATTTATTTATTTATTTATTTATTTATTTATTTATTTATAATTGTGAATTTTAGATGATTCTGTACAACATTGCACATCGTCATATTTAATAGCAAACATTGCATATTCACGCTTTTCAGTTTTTATAAAACAAGATAAATTCAAGAGATCGAAAACGATTTAAGTCGCTTCTGCATTACAATATAAATTATATATAAGTTGGTATCAACAAAAAAGGAAAAAACATCTAGAAAAGAATGGAAACAGTCAAAACTAAATGAGCATAATTCTGATTAACAACAAATAACATTGATGTATTAAGGAAGAAAATATATCCAAAATATTATACATACACACAAAAATATACACAAATATACACACAAAAATAAATACAATTTGAATTAAATTAATTTAAGAAAAGAAAAAAGTGGTACTGTTCAAGTATTTTCATATTTGTCAAGTATGAATCTAGATACGGTAACAAAGATAATTTCATTCTATCAAATGGTTAAATATTTATGACCATGAAGAAGCAATGATAGCTGTTCTTTTTTTTGCTCTAAAACAAGCACCCAACTCTCGCTCTGTTAAGCGTTTTTTTTCTTCTTTTTATTCTATAGAGCGATGGTTGCATTCAGCGCTTTTCTGCATTCAGATTATTTTTAAGAATGCACTTAAAAGAGATTGGAAGTAGAGATGTAGTTGCGGTGGAGAAGTAATTGCAAGAAGACAAAGTAGTTTACTGAATTGTGGAGATATTTTGATGGAAATTTAAAATCTCTTTTCATGGTTCCCCGTGTTGTTATTTTTGAATTGGAGAAAGATTTTCGAAACATAGGAGTAGGCCTTGTTCCCCATTGGCATGCATATTTTTGTCATAAATTGAAATCCAGTTAAAAGTTCACATGAAAAATCCTAATTCCAAAAATCCAAAAATCCATTGGCGGTATCTAGTGATCACGGTCTGTGCCCTGAATACGTTCAAAAGATATAAGCACTACAAGAGCTAGGTAAAGCTCCCAGGACAGTTATACCAGCTGCGTATTGCAGTGAAAAAACTTTCCATAGATCCCTGCTGAAAATTTGGAAATGTTTTAAATACATGTCACCTTTTGATAACTTTTGTCAGTTTATACAGTCATACTTAAGGTTTAAAAAATCAAGTCAAATTATTAGATTTTTGAATACGTGATTGATGTCATTTGTACAATTGCAAACAATTGCAAACCGCACTGTTTTGAAATTTTGATATTCATTCTTAGCTAATCACACTAGCAAAATGCTTACCTTTCAAAGGTGCAAAACTATGCCATATTTGACAAATCTTCCTTTATTTCAGAATATTTCATGTGGAAGCATAACAATCTTAGTCTTGGCCCTTTTTTGATATGTAGTTTTATGTGTATGTACTCACTTCTCTGAGGTGGCAAATAAATAAATAAATAAATAAATAAATAAATAAATAAATAAATAAATAATATAAAATGCAGACATGCAAGGTCAACTGATGGGGGTTAATCACTGGTTCACCGTGTATTGCTTTTAGAGCCGGTTGGGACGTATGCAAGGCAGTGAACTTCCAAGAGGACCAACGATCATGCGTATTGCTGTCAGAGCAAAGGAGCGCCGCGAACACTGTTGTCCAGACTGCTGGTACTACGTATCTGGAGGCGAGCATTGGTAGGTCGAACATTAGCATTAAAAAAAAACATATGCGTGTACTTGCAAGGACTTTTGCGATCTGTGTAAAGGTACAATCGCAAAATATTCTCTTGAAAAGCTAGCCAGGGTGATAAAAAACACAGTGTGTATATACAGGACGTATCGCACACTCCAATGTATCATATCCCATTATGGATGACAGTGCATTAAGTGGTCAGTTCAGTCTAATATCGATCAGGAAACATTTAAACGAATCTAGTTTATAATTTATCATGATTGATGGCCAGTTTAAGTTAGCATCAGTTCAGGCCCAGGGAACAGACGAGCCAGTCCTCAAAATGAGAAATACATAATTATACTGAAGACAAAAGAACTGAAGATTTGTTCTTTTGTTTTTTTCATCCCGTCTGGGTCTTTTATCAACACTTCCAAGTCTTTTTGTTATATTGGAGGCTTTCTGGCTACCTGAGTTTTATTCTAAAATTGCATTGTCATACAATGTACATAGTCACTTAGGAAATATTTTACAATTACTATTTTTATCAACAATGAATTATTATATACACTTAAAAAATACATTTCCGTACTTTTATGAGCATTAATACAGAGGAGATAGATGTACGTACTGTTCACCTGTTTATCTCTCTAAACCACCCAGCAAACACGTCACATTGGTACCACGTGGTTAATCCGTTGCTATAACGTTATAACGTGGTAGCAACGTGCTGACCACGTGATCCGAACTTGACGAGTTTACTGGGAAAAATTGCGACAGATAGATCATTACTTTTATAGAAATCGTGTGGTATTATTTTCACAGCACCACAGTCGTGTCTAGACTGGAATCGCGTGTACGGCAGCACAGTCAGTGGCAGTCACGTGATCGACCCAGACGGCCCGTACACCGGTCTGGACCCCTTCCCAGTCTACTGCGACTTCCAAGAGAATCCACCTGTTGCCAAAATATACCATAACAAGGCCTCGGTCACCGTAGACGGGTATGAGCCAAATGCCTCCTTCCAGACTGACGTTGTTTACGGTGAGAGACTTTTAAAACTCTTTGCGTAATATCAGATATTTTCATTTATTCTTATCTACAAGCATTTAAAAAGGTATCTAGATATTTAAAACTTATCATATCAAAGTAAAAAAACGCCTTTGTATTAAAACATGATAAAACAAATTCAAATTTGATGCAAAAATACCTTAGCTAATATCAAATTATTTGGTTTTCCTTCTAATTTTCTTATTTCTCAGAGTTGTCCATGGCACAGATGCTCAGTGTTATTAACGCATCAACGAGCTGTAAACAGTATTTGAAAGTGAGGTGTATTGGGACGTACTTTTTTGGGTCGCTAACAGAGGCAGGGCACAACATCTACTGGAGTTCTCGCGATGGTGAGAGGATGCTCTACTGGGGCGGAGGAAATCCGAACGGATGGGGCTGCGCATGCGCTCTTGATAATACCTGTGTTTCCTCCAGTGAGTTTTGATTGTTTTATTTCCAAGGATAGCAGTGTTTTGCTAAATAATATTCTTCGATAGTTTTTATAACAGCATAAAATGTGGAATGTTACCGCTGCTTTCAAGCATGTGTGCGTACCCTAGTCTCGGGTTGATAGGGCTATAGCCGAATATTACCTCAGAGTCTAGCTGTACCGCCTATCTCTGGTGCTTGATGAAACTGTACATGTAGATAAGAGAGTTAAAAGGTTTACCCAAAAGACGACTTTATGCAGCAACTTAAACAGTGGTTCGTTTCTAAGTTCAAATTACGATTTAGATACTACAGACTTGACATTTAATATGGAATATTTCAGTTTTGAAGGTATGCCTAGGTAAAAATGCGTTCTTTTTTCAAAAAACTCCGATCCCATATAAGATATGTTAATGGAGAAGTGTGTAGTCAGGTGTGTCGCTACCAATTAACTGACTTTCATGTATGTAGCGCAGCTACATTATGTAATATGCAGTGATTTAATTGGGTAGTGTCCCTTTGGGCTGGTCAAAGCTTGGCTTAGGATAAGCTTGGTTCTGTCAAAAAAGTATCCATATGTCGGCAACTACTGCATAGAAGAATTTGAAATTTTGCATGCAAGCGGTCAGTTTTGCAGTGCGTAAAATGAGCTAAGTAGTGCATTACAAATTTGTTAATCTGTGGCAGAATGGCCTTAGCGAACACACCAAACTGGTTTTAGCAGGTTAGAATGCCAAACGACCTCCGAGGCACCCACTGTAAACAGCAAAACATCGTGGTCTGTTTATCTACTGAATTGGGGGCCATGGCCGTTTCTGGGTAGAACACTGAAACCGCGTGGCTTTCTTTATTGAGGTCAGATTTCACCTGTACCGCCCAATTAGACAAAACACAGTTTACAGACATCCAGAAAGGGCCTACGACGAAGCATGTGCCGGGTCTAAAGTGACAAGGGTCATTGACAGCGTCAGTATTTGGAGTGGATAACACATTGGTGCCAAAACACCAATGGTAGTCAACGACGAAAACCTGAACCAGATCAAATAAAGGAAGGGAACCAAGGGAATGAGCAGCTACGCTGGTCATCAAAATCACCACATTTGAACCACATAGACAATATGTGGGTAGGCCATTACTCGCCGAATCAACTGCCTACATGCCCTACAACAAAACTGGACCAAATTGGACAATTTTTGACCGACGACTGGAATATTATTCCAGACTGAACCCTAAAAACCTACCCCAAGGAATGCCTTGCCGCTTGAGAGCGCTGGTAACGGTCAGAAGAGGCCAGGTGTAACAGCGACCCTTACTGTGACTAAAAACTGACATGGGGGTCTTTTGTGGAGCGTGTAACTCTTTTACAGACGATCATTTGGAAAATATGGAGATCCAAAATATCTCTTTTAATGGATGTCGTATGACATAGAATAGGCAATGTATTTCTGTTTGCTTCACTGTCGTTTCCAATCAATGAACTGATGTCACCATGACATCAAAGATATAATTTAAAAGTATTAAAACACTATTTTAATCCTTATTTTCATTTATCAGTCAGCAAAATAGGAAAAAACTGACGAAAGTATCTCGGAAAAAATATTCCATATTAAATGTCAAGTCCGTATGATAGCCAATTAAGCGCTGGGAACCGCAATTTTTTTTTTTTTTTTTGCAGAATGTTGCTTTTTTATACATAGGAGGAAATACAAATATAAAAAGTCGCGGGACCCATTTTGGAAAATTATTGTTATTGTACCTGTACTGTGAAACCCACACATTAATTACTTTCAGTGTGTTCGGCAGATTAACGAGAGTACAGGACTTTCGCATAGGTATTAATGAGCCGTAAGAATAACTACGTTCTTTTATCGCCCTATTCTGTCGTTGATTTCCTCTTTTGTTTTCCTCTCTGAATGATAATGTAATACATGTAGAGGTGCAAAACATCTCTTCTGTCAACGTTGAAGTCCTGATAGTGTCAATGATCAATGCTGCACATCCTACGTCATATTAAAAATGGTTAGCCTACCAGTATGCTATTCCTGACACATGGGCTCTTCTTGCCTGTCAACCAGGCAGAGCAGCTATTTATGACGTCACGGGCAAGGGCTTTATAGTAGCTTGGACATAGTACCAATTTTGGCCATGATAGTAGTTTGGTTCAAACTGTCTGGAGTGTTAATAGCAGCATCTCGCTTACTCGCTTTTTACAAGTATTTTTTCCCTTAATATGCCACCTAGAATTGTGATGAGCAGATATTTTTATAAGATCCGGGACCGCCCTTTTTCTGGAAAAATAGTCGATCTACCGGTAGGTATACGAGAGTTTAAGTAAGAGGTCCACTTTGTCAGAAAAAGAATCCCCCTCCCTTGGTCACTACGGGCCTGTGACAAAGTATCCGTTTTGTGGCCTTTTACTGTGTTGTTGTTCGTCGCACTTCCAACTTATCATTTCCTGTAGGATTACATGGTATTTCTAGTCACCAGGGTCCCTACAGCGGTCAGGGGGACTTAAGTGCAAATCAATTAGGGATCATTCCCAGTCCCTATCGTACTAACTGTGGATTGATCTATCTCCATGGTGATTCTCGCTAAATTGCAATCAACTTAAGCGGCTTAGATGTCTGTCGCGCCTACTAAAGCTTCTAGAGGGTAATTAATTATCGTTTAGCAGCTTCAGTAGGAGCGCCAGACATTTAAGCAGCTTAAGCTGATACCAATTTAGGGAAAAACCCCTTGGAGATAGATCGATCCTGTTAGTTCGATCTAAGTATGGGAACCCAGTCTTATACAACAGGAACAAAACTTAATGCTTCATCAAAAGCTTTGATGTTGGCTGGAATCTAAAGTATTAATTAACACAGCGCTCTGAAATTTGGTAAGAAAGAATATAGCTTTAATTTATATATAAACAGGGCCATCAAAGCATGCACGGCAGATGACAGAGTAATATAGATGTTTCTTTATAGATCTGGGGCTTTGCAACTGTAACACTAACGACGGCAACTGGAGAGAGGACGAGGGCTACGTCACCGACACATCCAAGCTGCCCGTGTCTCAGCTTCACGGAGGAGATACCGGAAGTTCCGGTGAGGAAATCCATTTCACTGTCGGCCCCCTCGAATGTGTTCTCTAGAGTTCACGCGAGATTTGTTGTTCAATCTTCAGGGGACCACAATATATGCTGTGAACGTCTCACGTTTTGTTACCACTTTTTTCGTTAGTTAGATGCAACGGACTGCTTGAAGTGGACCGGATACAGTATAATTTTAGTGAAAATATAGAATATGCCACAAAGAATGTTGCTTTTTTTATACATAGGAGGAAAGACAAATATAAAAAGTAGCGGGACCCATTTTGGAACAATTTTGACACTTTTTCTATTCTTGCTTAGAAGTGGGTTGCTAAATAAATGTGAAATTTGTCACACATCAAGAAAATACATAACCGTATATGATAACACATAGGCAGCCATTTGTAGAATGTAATACAAGCGCCTCACGCACGATGTATTAGTAGTTACTCTGGCCCCGTATCTCGAAAGCATCGCGCATTGCGACCGTGCGCAAGAGTCTCGATTCCATAACTCGCCCATACTCGTCCCATATAATACATTGTAGCCTCTATTTGATATAGCTATTCGCAATACGCGATGCTTTCGAGATACGGGGCCCTGGACACCTGGACACTCGCGCAGTACCCATTTTGGATTTAAATTCTTGTATCGTTAAAATGATCGCAGCTGTAGGGCATTAAATTCAGCCACGTGAAATACACACACACACACACACACACACACACACACTTTACAGTACTAATTTCATGTTAAAAAGATTTTGCTAACCATCTTCAAAAATTTATGAATTACCCATTTACAATGTATCTGTGTCGCGCAAAACTGCCCCACGTCGGGCGCCTGCGAGCACTGCATAGTTTCCGAGTCAACCCTGACTTATTATAAGAACTGATTTTAATCAAAAGCTTTGAATATGGCTGGAGTCCCGAAAAAATAGTGCTACGTTTAGTCAACCCGGGCTTATTATAAGAACTGATTTCAATCCTAAAAGCCAACAAAAATTACTCTGATATACATTTTTTACTAAGAGACTCAGGAAAATCCACATTTCATTCTTCACGATAATCTTCTTATCATTTAAAAATGGTATGCACGGCGTAAAATTCCAAAACAGTTGCAATGAACATGACGGCATAAAAACAAATAAGGCAATTATGTGCATATTTTAATTTTCGCCGACTTATGTAAACATGTACCGTACCATCCAAAATCTTACTTTCCTAGTGAACTGTGACATACTGGGTTTGTTTAGTGTTTAACAATACTGTAAAAGAATTTGCTCGTTTCGAAAATAATACAAACATTTTGCTGTCGTAAAATTTGTTTTGGTGGAAATATAAATCAAAAGCGACACAATTTAGTCGGAAGCAACCTGGTATAAAGTAAGTGACAGTTGACCCGAAAAATGATTTTCTTTCTGAGCTCTTTCGAAAGGGACCGGACAAAAACGCAATTGTCATGTCGCTCCATTTTCGTTTTCACAACGATCATTATATGGAGTTTTAAAGGTACATACAAACCGAGCATCGGTGGAGGCTGGATTCCCAGTAACACATGTAAACCACTTCTACTAGATTCTTATATGACTCAAATAAATTCGACATGCCAAGGGATAAACTGAATAGATCACTCGATCAGCCATAAAAGACCTTTAGAGTGCTCCTTTTTTTTAATTTCTGGTTGTAAATTTAACCTACTTTCGTGACCTACTTTCCTGTCCCATTGACATACAGCTTAGAATGCCAGCAGAAAAATCCGTTCAAACATCATTTTCGGGTAAAATTAAACAATGCCTTTTGGTAATTATCTTAGTTATACTACTTGAAACTATATGCTGGCATTTGGTTGGTTTTTGTGACAAAAAATTGACTTTGTATGCATCTTTAATGCCAAAAACTGTGCTTGTGTGACAGAAAAGAGTTCCTACATGAAATGTACACTTGATCTCATGAAATAAATTTAGCATTGGAAAAACAACGGGAAATACGTACGAAGTGTCCAACATGGGTTTTGCAATGTTAGATAATTTTGTTGTGAGCCAGACTGCGCAACTTCACAAAAGAGACTCCTGGGTTATATTGTTTCAGCATACCACGGGTCTGCTGGTATATTTATATTCCTCAAAATGTCCAATTGCAAGTGATTTCAAGTTAATGGAGACTCTGTGCGCATACTAGTTTTATTTGAAATTGCGAGAACAAGTGGATACTGAGCCAATCTTTGAGCCTTCCGTCACAATACTACATGTAAGTTTTGACCGACATGTACATGTAGCTCACCAAATTTTATCAAAGATTGACAGTGATCAACGTTTTTTTTCATTCGTTTCTGTATATTATTTCTGTAGATTATTATAGGCCAAGATAACTCTAATTTTCAAGACATCAAGTTTGATGAACACCCCACTCTTTCTGTAGCTGTAACACACAAGTCTGCTACATTATACCGGTAGCTATGATTATAGTGGATGCAACGCAATCCTATGACTTACAAAAATATTGTAATATAACCATAATATATGTGTAAATCCTGGGCGTAATTCAGCCTACAGCTCTCACATTAAGGTACAACTTGGCAGTCGTAGTCTTAATGTTTCAAAAAGGTAATATTTTTTTTTTTTCAATTTCACTTGGCCCTTCTGGGATTCCATAAATTATACATATCACACAGATATTCATGTTGTCTGTAGTGTCCTTATGTTGTGTGAGGGAATTAAACAAATCGCAGAGTTGGAATCTTTTTAAATAATTCAAGATTCTTGCTATATAACTAACATTTTAAGTTAGTTTGCTATTAAATTTTAATTAATTAGAGTACACATAAATTAAAGATAACTAACTGTAGATTCTCTTTTTGTCAGATTCATGACTTTATCTCATCATTTGATAATCTGTTTAAAAGCCCGTAACTCTGTATAAAATGCATGACCAACAAATATAACCACCCTAAACCAACTCTGATATCACTATGAGTGAAAAGTGCGTGTATCAAAGTTAATTTTTCAATTTGAAAAAAAAAAATCGTTGAAACATCCCTGAAAAGATTTTGATCTAAAATTATATTCTAAAACATATGATAAGTTTCATTAGAGGCGACCAATTTTTTTCCCTCCAGAAGGCACCGTAGTATGGTCTGGTTTGTCAAATACTAGCACAGGCTTCAAACAACTGCTCATGCGCGGAAAGTGCGCTGTTTGAAATAAACAAGTTGGTGAAATTGACAAAGCCTGTCGGTGTTTACCGTCTGGTTGATTTTATTTCATTTCCTCTCTGGTGTCTTTTTGAAAATTTATATTAGAAATGTTCTATTGATTTTATGTTGTAAAAAGTAAATCCGTCGGAATTCCTTAGAATAACATTTATTTTACCTTCATTTTAAGGGGATTCCCATTGTATTTATAGTGTTATATGTGGCCCCAATGGGGATTATTCACCCCTCCCCCACTCTTGATTAATAAAATTCTTTATGGGCCAGATTGAAAATGAAGTTGCAAAATACATTAAAAATCGTAGGAAGGTTAATTGCAGATAATGCTGTAAGGATTTTCTTATCGTGGGGCGAACTCGGCCAATATAAAGTTTTTAACTTCGTCTTACGATTTTGGAGCGCCTGTTCTAATTTTTGAAAGCGAGGCAATGGAACCAAACAATACGGTGGAATTTGTAATCTCGTAAAAATTGCTATTTTTAAATATAGACCATAGCATGGAGTACATTGAAATGCGATTCTTTTTTTTATAATTATCTTAAATAATAATTAATTTAAAAGATACGATGTAATAAGTTCTTATCGAGGGCCAATTTATTAGCTTTATTGATTTTTTAAAGTATTTGGAGATTAAAAACACAAAAGCTGACAGGTTTCAAATCGAGGCCCCACATATTGTTCGTGTGCTTCAAATACTACAAAAACTGTTCTGATAAAAACAGACCGTATTCCATTTTGGGTGGGTGAGGGTCTGGGCTTTTTTTCTTCTGATATATTTTGAAATAGGTTGAACACAAATGCGCTCACTGTTTACTTAATTCATTAAAGTTTAAATGATGTTCCAACTGCCAGGCAATGGTTAGTTTTGAATACAAAAAGACGCCAACTTCATGCTCTCCCTTCTCCCCCACGCATCTCAGTCAACCTACGCTCTAGAAAGAGATGTCCCTTCTTCAGTGCTTAGTGAAAAGATGTGGATTTTAGGCACCCTTGAAACTAAGTATACGGGTATTTTAGTTTCAGAGGATTCAGTTTAAGATTTCAAATGCATTAAAATGTTAGCCATTGTTATATTTATAATCCATTTGCAGGTATTTTGACGCGTGCATGCTTAAAACTGACATTGGACATTCTAGTAAATATTCCTCACGTAACTGGTTGTTTCCTCCATTACTCAATCCTTCTCTTGACGTCCTATGAAAATAACATGCAGATGCTCGTGTTGTTAACCGTTTTAAACTCTATAGATAGAAATGGTAGAGGCAGCAACAATTTTAAGTACAAAGTTTCCAAAAAGGGGAAAGTACTGTGGAATGACCGTTTAATACCTTACCTGTTACAACTGGCATGCTAATAATTAGTGAGGGATTGGCAATAAACTTTAAGAAAACAAAGTAAAGATGTAATAATATGCTTCCATTTTTTGATATCATTTAAGAAGAGGAATTTTATTCATATTCAGCGTTTTGATGTACTGTTTAAAATTCGTTCGATTATGTCAATTGCTGGCTTAATGTTAAAAATTATTCACAAACGACCAATGACACTTTTTGGTAAAACAAAAAGCTTGCTCCTTTATTTTGAAAAGATTAATTGTTGAAATATTTTATAGCACCTTATGTTTATAAAGAGATAAAGAGATTAAAAAACACTTGCGGATATTTTTAAGGGGTGACATCTTGAGATTTTGGACATTTTGAGACTTAATTGCTTGAGTCCTAAGCGGGTCTCTTTTTGTCTTACCTTTTGGCATTTTTATTATTATTGTATATTTTTGGGAGGGATGTAATTGTACTTTAAATTAAGAGATTGTAAACATTTTGCTTTTTATAATATACTATTAGGTAGATCAAATACTAAAACCAGTAAATTTTGAAAGTTTATTTGTCAACTCATATTGTACCTGTTTAGCCTTTATGTGAATCACACTGCAGAACTTAATTATTTTTCTCTTACAAACTTGAACTTAAAATTTTAGTAATTTTAAGACTTTGAAGTCTTTTTACGTGTAGAAGCTTTGAAAATGAATTAGTTGCAGCAATGGAAATCAATTTTTGGTCTTAATAATAAAAGCTTTTCCTATTCCAAATATATCAAAATGTCCTTGCGTTTTCTGTAACGGTTGCAGTGCACAGTATAGGTAACTCGAGGCTGGGGTTCTGTTTCTGATTCGGGCACTTAAAAGAATATTCAATTCTCTCGCAGGGGGAGGGGGTCTTTTAAAATTATTTCTTGGATTACTAAAAGAAGAAAGCCCACCCAAGGGGCACTCGTAAGGGAATAGGTAGCGCGCTTGTCTCGGAGTCAGCAAGTCGCGGGTTCGTTTCCTGACATTTCTGGGTCCCAACAAATTGCCGAAATTTTGCAGAAAAAGATCAAAAGAAGTCATTTAAACTAATAGAAGAGGATCCCTTGAACGACCTTACTGAAAGCTGAGTCGGCGGCTCGGTTGATATGATTGTATGCTCACAAGCAGGGGGTCAGGGGTTTGTATCGAACTGAAAAGTTTATACTCCTCTTTGAAAATCATGCAGTGCATTTTTATAATAAAGCAGATATACGTTTATTGTTGCGTGAATGGTGTCAAACAATCGCAGCATAGAGATATTATATTCACAAAGAAATCAAAAACTGACAATTATATTTTTAATCTACATCAGCAACGATTCCCATATGCACATGGTACTTTTAAACCAAGCCGTTACAAAGAAAAGTCCTCAAAATGTCCAAGTTTGAATTACGCTGCTCAAACGACCAATACTTTCGGTTTATGATCAGTACTAAGAGAATACTGCAGTTGAATGATCCGAACCAGAAGATTCGTGAGTAGGAAAAATTAGTTGTTAATTTTTCGAGGAAAATTCAATTTGTTGGGAAAAGGCTGACAAAATATCATTCACAATATTATACTTTGCAACATTTTGTCATGGGTGACTTTTTTTTGTTTTTTGACCAGTTACGTATTGATCGTAACATTCATTGATAACGTTTTGTCCACATTCAGTGGTGTGAACGATTTCGAAAATTTAAAATGCATATCTCACATTAGTGTTTTAGTTACTTTCAGCTTTAGCAATCGATACCTCGGCACCGATCTCAGATAGGCAGAGCGAGCATGAAAGGAAAATGCAAATTACTTCATGTCACTAATACAGTTCACAACTAGCTTGTGGGCTAGTTTCTTATAAAAGGGACGTGCGATACATTTTTTTTTGACAAATTTGGCTCTGTGCTTTTTCATGTTTTATTCTCTCAAATTTATACAAGTACATAAATAGAATTTAAAATCCAACGACAAAAAATATACTCGATGAAATATACTCAATATAAAGTATCAATCTTGTAAACAGCCTTATGAACGAACTTCTGCGAGCTAGATACTATTTGCACAGGGCGACACAAACGCCCCTCCTCCTGGCGGCGGAATAGTCGGTATCTGAAAGTAAACATGAAATGTGCACTTAGAAAAAGATAATTGTATTTTAAGTGGCAAACTACGTACGCGTAAACCAACAATCATATCTGCTATAAAACAGAATCTTCAGAAGACAACAAAACTATCATAATTGTGATGTGATAGACACAAACACTAAACATATGTTTGAACGAAGACCAAATTTCAAAAGAAATTCTGGAAGACAAAGGTGGCGACTTTAAAACTTAAAATAAACAATTTTTACAAATAAAATCTGTCTCTGGGATTTCACGTGATTTTGCTGAAAGTCTTAGATATACCTTTAGTAGACTTATTTTGCACCACGTGATAACTGAAACTGACAGCGTATTCCTCATGTCAAACACATCACTTACAACATCTGCTGCTGGTTTTGATAATGCTCCTTGGCAACATAAGTGCAGCGTTCAAAGGAATGGCAGCCATGCCACACTCTAGACCTTTCTTCGTAACATTCACTTTGGTCCTACTTGATCACCACTCATCATGATCAGTTGGTCATGTTTTGCATATAATTATTCTCAGTCCAACCCTTCCTGGTCAGTGTGACAGTCATTGAAGTCCTGGTCCAACATGACAAGTGCAGGAGTGTGGTTAGCCTGAAATGTATGGGGGTAAGTACATGAGACGTTTGTCTCCGATACAGGATATTGAGACAACGGATGGGTTTAGACGGTTGTTATATAAGAAAGGATGTGAAATGTATACAGTTTGTTCAACATTAGAAGGGCCAAACGTTGGTAATATACAAAGAAAGACTGAACTTTGTATTGTCTTGCACCTCTTGATTTAACACCATGACTATGCTTCCTGTCTTCTGACTGACGTGGTTGAAATGAAGGAGGAGGAGCCTACCCCCCCCCCCCCCCCCATCAAACCCAGGCTCATACACCAATACGTAACTTTGAAAAATATTTTCCACGCATTCACAGGGACTTATTGCAAGACAGTACGTAAAATGATAATTTCACGGCAGTTTTGCATTTTCCTTTGTAATCAATCATCAAGTATATCGAGTTTACTAGATACTTATTCGGACAATCACAGAAGGATCAGTCGGTGGAATATTAGTGTCTTTCTTTTAAGTTTAGTCGATTTGAAATATAATTCGTGATTCAGCTTCTCGGAGTCATCAATGTTGGTATATATTTATTAAACATCATCGCAATAATTTTGGTTTTATTAGACGACAGACAATCGTAGAAAACATTAAACAAACCACTTTTTGTAAACAGTCGTTTCCTTTTTCTTTTTACCCCAAGGCTGGTCAGAAGTTCGGGAATTTATAATTTTTGTACGGAAGGGGAGAATTGACGGGTAAGTTTAAATATTGACATAATACTAGACAAGTCAGAAAAATTGTTTGTGAAATGAATATGTCCACCATTATTAATGTATAAATCTACCATGCATTGATGAGTTAGTTCAACACAACGTGCTCTTTAGGAATTGTGCAATAACAATTTTCGTAAATCACATTTCGTGATTTAGTCCCTAACTGAAGTGATGTTATGTTAACTGCCGGGGTATTTTGATGTATTTTACGTACTTAATTTCTAGTAAAGCAGCTAACATTATTCGCGGGTTTACAGGTCGACTGGGTGACAGTCGATTGGAATGGATGTGGGAACTGCCTCAAAATACTCGATTAATCCTCTTCATCTCTGCTCAGATCCACGAGTTTCTCTTATCAAACTGGTATGAAAATTGCCAAATTTATCTCTCTCTCACAAGAACTTATCGTTTATCCAAAGCGAATATTTTCTATTATTCTTCTAAAATGAGTATTCGTTAAAGAAACCAATAGGTAATTTTAATGGCATAAGGAGAGAATGCGATCGTTGCTTATTTTGATTTTATCGGAAACTGACCGTGATACAATTGATATATTCGTATACTTAATGGACCAATGGTGTCATGAAGGGCGAATGTTAATTTAAAATTACAAAAGAGAAAAAAAAACAAAAAAAAAAAAAAATCAAAATGTCTACATTAAAGACATTAACATTAAGAATGCACGGCATACATAGTATATATATTTTGGAGACACCGAATAGAATGGGTAGACAAATATAAATATCTTGGGTATGATTTTCACGACACTTCAAAATTTCTCTCAGTCTGTCACAAGAGCTCTTACATTTGGTTTAAACATATTGAAAGCAAAGGTTGGTCAGATGAGATTTCACTTATCAGAAGTTGTTCAGTACGTAGTTGTGCAGCTCCAATACTAGAGAAACGGTCACACTTTGGGTAAATTCCGTGAAATGAGGAATAGGAAAATGTTGCGTACCTAGGGGTTCATCGTTTCCCGCCAAAGTTAGGTGTATATGGCGATTCAGATTTGATCCCGTAGAAATATAGTTATCTTGCTCTGGCTGTGTTAAAAAAAGTAGCTAATAGAATTCTTACAAGTCAACGTACTGTTAACAATTCATGGTAGCATTTATTCAGTCTAAATTACAATATGGTCAAAGTGATTATTTATAACCAAGTCTTTTTGAATAAAATTATTTGCTAGATTTTATATCATTATATAATAAATATATGTTGGCGAAAACGGGGGTCACCGTATCGAGCGTAGGTTGGGAATAGAGAGATAACGATGAATAAACTTCGCTCTAATGATGTAACACACAATTATAAAAGCTGAAGCGTATTATATATATATATATGCCCAAAAGAAATAGAATGTGAAAAACACTTATTACGTCAGTGCCTAACGTTTTATTTTCAGTATTTCATATATACACAAAAACACAAACATTCTAGGTCAATACTGCCAACAGTATATCTTACGACAGCCACTAACAATCTGTGTAATTTAAAGATTTGACAAAATAGCGACTTTTCTAATGAAAATTTAGCTTATTTTGTTTTTCTAGAAATGTCAGCCTCAAGATTGTCCAAATGATGTAAAGGAGGTGTAATTACTCAATCTTTTTATAGAGGAAAATTGTGAATTTTACAGATACTGTATTGTTTAAGTCATAATCATATTTCTTATAATTGGAGCATTCCTGTTAAGTGGAAGCAACAAAATTAAACTGCAGGCTATTCTACATCTATTCTATGTGGTAAAAATGTTATACAGAACTATAATTTTTGTGATTATAAGATTATGTAACAAGAAAGCTGATAACTTTTGCCCATTGAAAAGATCAAGAAATAACCGTAAATTATAATTTATAAAAGGAGAAAATAGAACATTGATGTAGCATTGACTAGCAGCAATGCTATTTACTTGCATTTTTGATCAAGCAGTGGGACAAATCAACTTCCCCCATGTCACATCATAGTCAATTTGTTAATTGACTGATTAGTATGCCATGAATTTGATTAAAAAATGAACAATTAAATTATAAGGGATGGCACTGTCACTAATGCTTAAAGGCCAAATGAAAATTAAAAAAAAAAAAAAAAAAAAAAANCTATAATTTTTGTGATTATAAGATTATGTAACAAGAAAGCTGATAACTTTTGCCCATTGAAAAGATCAAGAAATAACCGTAAATTATAATTTATAAAAGGAGAAAATAGAACATTGATGTAGCAATGATGTAGCATTGACTAGCAGCAATGCTATTTACTTGCATTTTTGATCAAGCAGTGGGACAAATCAACTTCCCCCATGTCACATCATAGTCAATTTGTTAATTGACTGATTAGTATGCCATGAATTTGATTAAAAAATGAACAATTAAATTATAAGGGATGGCACTGTCACTAATGCTTAAAGGCCAAATGAAAATTAAAAAAAAAAAAACTGAAAAATGCTTACTGTAACCGTTTTATGTATGAATGCCAAAAGTTACTATCAATTACCAAGAGAAAATTACTAATGTGGTCATGGAAAAAAAACTGTAAAAACTTTATTTTTTGCACAAATAAATTGGTTTCTTTGCCATTAATTTTCATAGTCACTTATTGGTCCACATAAGAAATTAACCAAAAGGAGCACTTCTTGGCCTGTAAGTCATCTGCCCCATTAAGTTGATAGGACGTGTTCTCTCCTACTGACTTTGTGCAGAACTTCTGAGCTGTTCCAGGTGAACACAAAACTATAAAGTGATCCTCTCTTCCAATTTGTACAATCCCCAGCCATCCCTGCTGTCCACCTCAGGATTGTCCAAATGATGTAAAGGAGGTGTCTCTGTAGGGGTCATAGTCTTGTCCATAATCATCAGAACTAGGGAAGTTTGAGGGGTAACTGCTCTTGGGTAGGGGTGGAGGTATAGGCTGGAGCATAGGTATAGGTGGCACTGGAGGCAAGGGAGGGGGTTGGAGTTGACGTTCTGATGTCACATTTGACTGAGAGCCAAAAGTTGTGGCTGCTCCTGATGAACAACTGGCTACAGAGGAAGCTGATGGTGCTGGGTTTGACTGGAATTGGTAAAGGTACTAATAAAGTTATTCACAAAAAATAAAAAATAATTCATCACATCTATAATTTAAGAGATGAAGCCTATCTACACTGAGATATTGGTTTATAAGAAGAATGAAGTGCTATTGGTTTATATTAAGACATGAAGTCTACCTATCCCACAATATTGGTTTATAATGAGACACGAAGTCTACTTACCCCACCAGCCTTATTTTGTCTGTATGCCATCAAAGCTTGGGACAGTACTTTGGACACCTGCAGAGCCATGGCCGCCTCATCCTCATTGTTCACCAGACACTGCGACTGAAGACATTAATTCAGTTATAATGAAAATATACAACTTAAAATCATATATCAAATAAAGAATAATTACTATTCAATAAAGCTATAAAACGAGTTTGCAGGGGTTTGCAAGAAAAAAATTATTGCTGCTAATTTGCAGCTATATTGCAGCAAATTTGCAAGGAATCGCAGACCCATAGAAGTTCATAGTCATACCTTGAAAATACCAATTTGTGAAAAATAAACATTTCACAAATAAATAAATAAATTAATACATAAATTGATAAAAATAACTTCAAGAAAAAAATCTGATCAGCCTGGTTTCAAACTCAACCAGTAAATTAGTAATATTGATCACTTTTTTAAGTTTGAAGTCAATAGGTCAACTGGTTTTCCACTTTATGCCTTATTCATCATTGTACATTTGCAGACAAAAGGTCTGAATATATCACTTTTGTCACATCATGATATTTCACATACGTCACATCTAAATACATCACATCTAAATATATCACAGAGCTCACCAGTGTCTGCAGCATCCCTTTCATTCCACTGCTTTCACTATCAAGTCTCTCAGCCAAACTGTCTCTCTGAACACCAGGCTGTGGTAGCCCTCTGCGGTACTCTGGGTCTCTCTCCCTGGTATACTCTGGTTTCTCATAGAAGTCACTGCTAGAGCCTCTAAAAGCATCCCTTGATTCTAGTCCACGGGAATCATCATAAGAATAGTTTCTCTAAAAATACAGATAGTTATTACCCATCTATTTGAAGTGTGTGAGAAAAAATTATGAAGTAAAATTTACACCTCTTTCTTTTAATTTTCAACAATCTATTCAAAAAAACAGTGTAATGTGAGACAGGGAAAAAAAAGAAAAGTCAAACATATGGATGCAATCCTTAATACTGTTCTGTTTTATCTTGGTCATTAAAACCATGAAATAAGTCAAAAGGGTTTTGTTTACCTTCTGACATTTACCAGACTTAAATATTTATAAAAACAAGGCAGCAAAGCTGTCAAATGTACAGACAAAAAGCAGAAAATAATAATGCAAAAAATAGGCTACTGTCAATTATGATGCAAAAATACATTATGCTTAACTACAAATTCAACATCAAATTTTAATTATGCTCAACAGGTAATACCAATGTAAGTAAAATGTGTAACAAGCATAAGGCTTCAGGCCACGGGAGTTCAAGTTCACACTTTGAAAATACCAGAATGAGAAAAATGAAAATTTCACACAAAATTGTATAAATTCAATAATAAATGATAACCCAATTGAGCTGGCTTTCTAATTTGAACTGTATGCCAATCCTAAAAATCATACTTGTAAGTTAAAAATAATAATAAGTAACACCGTTTTCTTTTCATAATGTTTGTAGTAGCAGTGCAAAAAGATTTTTGTCAATTTTGATGTAAAATTACATAACAAATTACAGAATAATTATCACCAATTTTTGATTATTGACTATAAATAGCATGGACATGTAGAAAATTTGATTACCATTCAGCTTCATGTCCATGGGAGCTCTGAGTCCCACAATGAATATGCCAACAGGATAAAAATGAATATTTCACTAAAATTAATTTTTTTTTTTTAAAGATATATAAGTCTGTCCATCCACCACTTTTTAGGTACTCCAATATATCAACAGTGGTTGCCACCTGCCACCTCCACCTACCACAAATGTTATACTTTCTATGGTTATATGCCTATGTCAAGTTGATTCGGCAATAAACTATACTATATACTATATACTATATACTAAAATTAATAACTTCTAGAAAAAGAAGCCAATTAGACTGCTTTTCCAACTCAGGCTGCATTTAAGTCCTGTGTTTCTATTTTGAAAGTTTGACAATCGTAAGTAACATGGTTTTCTCATAATGGTCATCATGGCAGCAGCACCAAAAATTGTGTTTTCTTCTTTTTTTGATGCAATATTACATAATGTTTAACAGCATAATGACCATCAATTTTTAATAATAAAATATTCGTATCATGGATTTTCAGAAAATGTGACTAGCATGGGTCTTCAAGACCATGGAGGTTCTAAGTCGCACCTTCAAAATGCTAATATGTGAAAAATTAAATTTTCACAAAAAACTGTTTAACTGCCAGAAAGAATAAGCAAACAGATTGCTTTGCCTCCTGAAGCTGTATTTTAGTCCCATGTTTCTTTCCTGTAAGTTTGAGAACAGTAAGTGACATGGTTTTCCTTAAATGGTCATCATGGGAGCAGTGTCCAAAATAGGGGTTTCTTCACATTTTGATGCAACATTACATAATGTTTAACAGCATAATGATTATCAATTTTTAATAATAAAATATTAGTATCATGGATATTCAGAAAATGTGACTAGCAAAGGTCTTCAGGTCCATGGAACTTCAAAGTCACACCTTGAAAATGCCAAAATGTAAACAAGACAGAACTGTTCTGAAATGGCTTTTTTTCCATTTTTAACAATTTTTTAACATAAAACAACATTAACAGTTTACAGCCATTTTTATATGATCAACTAAGAAAATTGATGAGATGTGAAAAATATCAATAGAACAGTGTTAAGGGGTCAAGGATATGAAAAATACGTCTTAAACTCGATTTTTAGTTTTTTATACGTTAGAAATAATCAATATCGTATCTAATACTCAATTAAGTTATATTTTTGCAACACGGACTAAAAATATACATTTGGACGAGTTTTTCTACCTGTCTGTGGCAGCCTTTAGGCTCGGCCTCCGTTGTCAAGCACCGTTACTATGGGGGGCGGGGCAAGAATGGTTGTCTAACTTGTCTTAAGCTGTTACGCATGCACTGGCAGCTCATAAGTCTTACGTCAGCTAAATTGAGATTATACTGTTTCCATTTTTTTTTAACATTGTTAACAATATATTAAATTTTTTCCCTTAGCGTCTCAATCACGTCACGTCAAGATCACACTTGAGCTGCTGAGAATTCGTACAACGTCTGGGGTTGTCAGAAAAAAATCGTTAGGCAATCATTTTATTTACAATAAAGATCGTAACAGCAAGCAAGTTTATAAATAATATTGCCACCCAAAACATTTTCAAACTCGCCTATTACGGTCTCGGCACTCTGTGGCATCGTGGCTGATACGTACCCACATTCGGCCGTTTCTCGGAGTAATTCTTTCTTTGCTTTCTCCATTTTCGCGTCTTGGTGTGTAGAACGGCGTCTACGCATTACGGGTGGCATTGTCCTCTGCTTGCACCTCAAGTAATTTTCTTTTTGTTTGTTAGTGCTTCCTTAGACACTTCCTAGACAGTGCACAGACTCCTACTGCATCAGGCACAATTATGATTAATTACGTCAGTGAAACGAGAGTAGGAAGGCCTACTCAGCTGTCAATCATTTCTCAGGGAAGAGCGGCTTTCGTGGTGCGAATAAGTTTGCGTACAAAAGTAAGATTTTCTGGCATCTAGATAGAAACAAACAACCCAATTTTAACATGTAATGGTGTATAGACCTTCCCGATCAATAAGATGATAACAGGTAAGGTGGAGGTGCAATTAGTTTGCTAAATTAGCCCAATTACATGAGCCAAATGGTTTATGAGCGATTTCTCAGTTTGAAGATTGATAACATAGTCTAAACTTCAATCCCCATATCTCATTCTTTTCCTGTCAGATTGACATGAAATTTGATGTGTCTGTGTTTCAGTATAATATCTAGTCGACTGCGTCTTGGGTTCTTGATTGACTTTTTATTTTTGAAGTTATTAATACTGAAAGTGGATGGTCCATATATATTTCGTAAAATTCACGTTTTATCAAAATAAAATCAAACGTAAAAATAATAAGAGAAAATCCTGACAGAGTTTACTGGTTTTTGTGCTAACCTTTAGATAGCTATTTCAATCGTATTTATAGGGCTTTTTGTTTAAGAGAAAATCTTGATTAAAAAAATGACAATTTTAGCCCCAAAACGCTGATATTACGTCACTCGTATTACACTGTGACTACAAACTTTGGAAAATTGTTTTGCTTGCTAGACCATATCCTTTAGTTAATAAGAAATTTAATTAGCTGCATTAGTTTTGGACTTTTTCGTTAATATCCTAGACCCCTTAAATGTCCAATTTCCTCCATTCTGAGATTCTGAACATAGTGAATGATTAAATCTGACAAACTGCAATGATATGAGTTTATTTCCATTTTTGAAACTCGATTACAATAATAATAATAATAATAAAACACTTCTTTAAAACCGCGCTACACATGCGTCTCAGCGCTGTTTACATAAAAAATAAAAACTCCACAGATAAATTAAAGCCAGTATTGACTAAAAACAGAATACTTCAAAATTTTAAAAACTAAAAAGATGCTATAAATTAAAGTATTCTTTAAATAAAAAAGTTTTTAAATTCTTCTTAAAACAGTAATACGAGTCATCCAGAGACACATTAGATCTTGTGATAAAATTAGACCATAAAATCGGTGCACATATCTCTGTGTCCATATGTTTTAAGAGTCTTTTTGGTGTCTTTTCGCTTAAGTTGAAGTTGTCCACTAGATAGAAGTGATCTGATAGGAGTTAAAAATTCTATGGTAGAGTCTAAGTAAAATGGACAGTCGCCCTTTAAAATCTTAAAAGTCAAAAGTAATATTTTAAAAACTATTCGTTGAGACACAGGTAGCCAGTGGATGTTTTGCAGAATTGGTGTGATGTGGTCGAATTTCTGAGCTTTACAGAGGAGATGAGCAGCAGAGTTCTGAATTGATTGTAGCTTTTCCATTTGATAGTTAGGTATTCCAAACAAATAGCAAGGCTATTGCAATAATCCAGTCTAGAGGTTACAAATGCATGGATGAGTAATTCAGTTACATAATACACGATAACAAGTTTACCAGTTACATAATACACGATAACAAGTATAAGATTACACAATACACGATAACAAGTTTACCATTATTTTTTCATAATCAACTAACAACGTTGTAAAGA